AGTCTGCTTCTCCCTCTGCCCCTCCCCCCTCTCATGTGCTCTCTCTCTCTCTCTCTCTCTCTCATTCTCGCTCTCTCAAATAAATAAATAAAATCTTTAAAAAAAAAGCTACAGATTAAAGATTACCCACACTCCTAATTTATTTTAACATGAAAAACAGGAAGCTAATAGCTTGTGATACAATATAGTAAAAACTGTAATGGCGGGGCGCCTGGGTGGCTCAGTCGTTAAGCGTCTGCCTTCGGCTCAGGTGATGATCCCAGAGTGTTGGGATCGAGCCCGGCATCAGGCTCCCTGCTCCGCGGGAGGCCTGCCTCTCCCTCTCCCACTTGCCCTGCTTGTGTACCCTCTCTCACTGTGTCTCTGTCTGTCAAATAAACAAAATCTTTAAAAAAAAAAAATGGTAATGGCATTGATAGAGAAGATACTATGGACACAGTGGAGAAAAGCATGAATTCTCATCTCAGGGTTTTAGATTAAGGAAACTTCTCCAAAGAGGTTTTCTTTCGAGCTGGCCTTTAAAAATAGAACTAGGGGGGCGCCTGGGTGGCTCAGTCATTAAGCATCTGCCTTCAGCTCAGGTCATGATCCCAGAGTCCTAGGATCTCGAGTCCCGCATCGGGCTCCCTGCTCGGCGGGAAGCCTGCTTCTCCCTCTCCACTCCCCCTGCTTGTGTTCCCTCTCCCGCTGTGTGTCTCTCTCTCTGTCAAATAAATAAATAAAATCTTTAAAAATAAATAAATAAAAATAGGACTAAGTATATCGGAAATGGACCACATTGTTCTAGGCAGTAGTACAAGCATCAGTAAGTCTTGGACTTAAATGAATAATTCATTCTAACTACATTGCCAGTTTTAAGGGGCAGGGAAAGAAATGTACTGTTTTGTTATTAGTTCCTCATTTAATCCTCTCAGCAATCCCATCATAATCATTATTAAATATATACAACATTGTGTGCGTGTGTGTAATTTGTTATTCCTGTTTTACAAATATGGAAACTGAATTACAAGGAGGTTAAATAACTTGACCAAAGTGACCAGCTAGAATGTGGAGACTCCTGGACCCTGTTCTAAACCATTACACCCAGTCTGCCTCTCGCATTGTCTAGTATACTGTGTCTTGAGGAAAGAACTATTTCCATTCCCAGTATATGTTCCAAGACACACTAGTTCATCAAGCTGCTATTAAATTAAATGTGGGGGATATTAGCCAGATGTGCTATCCTCCACTTAGAGGTTCACAGCCCTTAGAATATCAACATCTTTGAGAAGTCTTGTAAAATAGCCCATTTAACTTTGTTTCGTCCAACAAATTTCCAATTTATGTAACCACCAAAGTATCTATTAATGTACACATGGGAGAAAGCTATAGTAGATAATAGGCTGTTACTGAATACATTTGGTGGAGAATTAACACAACCAGTTCTGTGTTTTAAAAGAAAGCTCATTCTGGTGGCAATGTGGAGAATGGCTTAGAGGGAAAAATTGGAGTTGGGAAAACCAATTCAGCCCCTCCTTTCCCCTCAGACTGTACTCCACCTCTCATACCTGAGATTTCCCTGTATCTGTGATCCATATGCTGTTCTCTTTGTCAGTTTGACACCCCTCTGCCAGTATCATGCCATCTTAATTACTGTAGGGTTTTGTTTGGGGTTTGGTTTTGTTTGGTCTTTTTAAGATTTTATTTTTGGGGCACCTGGGTGGCTGAGTTGGTAAGTGTCCACCTTCTGCTCAAGTCATGACCTCTCCCTCTGCTGCTCCCCCTGCTTGTGTTCTCTCTCCTCTCTCTCTCAAATAAATAAATGAAACCCTTAAAAAAATATTTTTTAAGTAATCTGTACATACAGCGTGAGGCTCAAACTCATAACCCTGAGATCAAGAGTCACACTTTCCACAAACTGAACGAGCCAAGCACCCCGTTTTTGGTTTTTTTTTTTTTTTTAAGATTTTATTGGGGCGCCTGGGTGGCTCAGTCAGTTAAGCGTCTGACTCTCGCTTTTGGCTCAGGTCATGATCTCAGGGTCATGAGATAGATCCCTGCCTCAGGCTCTGTGATCAGGGTGGAGTCGGCTTAAGACTTTTCCCTCTTCCTCTGCCCCTCCCCTCCGTGCCTGCGCTCTGTCTCTCTCTCTCTCAAATAAATAAATGAATTAAAATTTAAATTTAAAATTTAAAAAAAGATTTATTTATTTGAGAGAGAGAGGGAGCACAAGTAGAGGGAAGGACAGAGGGAAAAGCAGACTCCCCACTAAGAGGGGAGCCCCACACGGGACTGGATCCCAGAACCCTGAGATCATGACCTGAGCCAAAGTTAGACACTTAACCGACTGAGTCACCCAGGCGCCCCAGCCAAACACCCCGTAATTACTGTAGCTTTTATACACTATTATCTGGTATGATAAGCCCTCTGATCTGTTGTT